GCGCTTTTTGAAAATGTTCATAGGAGTTATACAATACATTAGGAGGTTACATTACTCTCTCTCTCTTCTCTTGGTCGCCCTCTCTCTCTTGATCGCCCTCTCTCTTCTCTTGATCATTCATCGGTGTGTGTCTGTGTGTGAGAGAGAGAGAGTGTCTGTGTGAGAGAGAGAGGAGTGTGTGTGTCTGTGTGTGTGAGAGAGAGAGAGTGTGTGTGTGTGTTGTGTGTGTGTGTGTGTGTGGGAGTGTGAGTGGGAGTGTGCCTGTGTGTGTGTGTGTGTGTGTGTGTGTGTGTGTGTGTGTGTGTGTGTGTGTGTGTGTGTGTGTGTGTGTGTGATTGAGAGAATGTTTGAGAGAGAGAGAGAGAGAGAGAGTGTGTGTGAGAGAGAGTGTGTGTCTGTGTGTGTGTGTGAGAGAGAGAGAGAGAGAATGTGTTTGTCTGTGTGTGTGTGTGTGTGTGTGTGTGTGTGTGTGTGTGTGAGAGAGAGTGTGTGTGTGTGTGAGAGAGAGAGAGTGTGTGTGTGTGTGTGTGTGAGAGAGAGAGATGTGTGTGTGTGTGTGTGTGTGTGTGTGTGTGTGTGTGTGTGTGTGTGTGTGTGTGTGTGTGTGTGTGTGTGTGTGTGTGAGAGAGGAGAGTGTGTGTGTGTGTGTGTGTGTGTGTGTGTGAGAGAGAGAGTGTGCGTGTCTGTCTGTCTGTCTTTGAGAGAGAGAGAGAGAGTGGGTGGGTGGGTGTGTTTAATTGTTACAGCTCATTGCAATAACTTCCATGTTAAAAAAAGACTTTAAAAAGCTGAATATTTTAATTGAAATCATGTGTTGAAAAGGCTGATAGTTTGATATTTGAATGGTTCCTGCAGCTGAAATTAGGATGAAGGAGTTAAATAAAAGGTATTAAATGTAAGTAGTAGTGATTGAATGTTTACAAACACCTGTGTGTGTAAACCCAGAGATCAAAGGGTTCCATGGTGTCTGCTCTGATTGGATGATGATGATGACTCACGTGTGTTGCCACCTGTTCAAAAACTATGGCTCTTATAAAAAAATTACCAGACCGTGAGCATCAGGGAACCTCGTGAACTGAAATATGTTTTTGTTTTGGGTTTTGTGTGTAAAATGTGGAGATGGGAGCAGTGTATCTAAAGTTTACTTCTCTCTGCTCTGAAGAAAGATCCGGAATAATTTAACATGGGAATCAATTGGGAGCTAGCTGGACTTTTTCTCTCTTCATGCCCTCAAGAGGCATTTTGTTTAATAGTTTTTCTTATTTTTTTCTTATTTTCCAACCTACAGTAGGAGAGGTTTTCCTACGTTTTTCATGAAAAAATATGTCTGAGGAGTGTAGGGTTTGGGAATTATGGCAAGTTTAAAACATTTTTGGGGGAGAATTTTAAGCACTGCTGCACTCTGTTTTGAGATCAGAGCACTCTAGAGTTAATGAGCTGCTCCCATCCACTCTATTGTTAAAATCTGAAAAAAGGCGTCTCTGCTAAGCTCCAAACAAAGTTCAATATCTCAAAAAGTTTAAAAGATATCAAAATTCTGTTATACAAGTATTATAGCTGAAAGTATTGTGATCATTTGAAAGTTGGAATGAAGTGTCTACCTCAAATTATGTGGAAGGAGAAGTATTTGGCGCAAAGTGTAGGAAAAGTGGATCTGAAGGCATCTCCCATTGACTTCAATGTTAAAAAAAGAGTTTAAAAAGCTGAATATTTCAAAAATCATAACATATTTTTTAAAAGTTGAAGGTTTCCCATCGATTCCTAAACAGGCTGAATAGTTTAATATTTGAATGGTTTCTTTGGTTGAAAATAAGCTGAAGTTATGGAGAGCCAAAGTATTGGCTGAAATAAGTGGAAAGAATAAAGATTTGAAGTACTATAGTGGAATGCTGTAAACAGCATTCACACTAATAAATCAACTAAAGGATTATGATATAATGAATAATAATAATAATTCACAAATGATAATCCAAAAATATAAAATAATTATAAGGAAAACAGTCATTTTAGTTTTGCTATTTAAAGTAAATGTAGCTGTTTATATTCTCTATATCACCCAGCCCTACTCAAAATGTAAAAGGTTTTGATTGTCTTTCGTTGTTTTGGCTCTGTACATTGGATTTTAAATGAAACACTAACTGTGAGGTTAAAAGTGCTGACAAGGCCTTTTACACATCCGACCAGCACAGTTGGAGCAGAACAGTATAAGACTCCTCTGACTTTAGGACAATGCAGCAGGTCGACAGGTAAGACAGAAGAGAGATGGAAAATAAGGAGATTTTTATGGTCAAACCGTACAACAGTTCTTGACTCAAGACAAGACACTGACCTGACTGCAATCTATAATCCGTGGACAGCAACATAAACGTCACCTGCTTTGTCTCGGTTGTGGTCTAGGGAATCAATTCTCCTAAGGTCCAATTCCAAAGAAAAAAGTCAATTCCCACACACATTAGTCTTCCCTGCATTGATTTATTTAAAAAGTGTCGACATTTTGACACACAGGGGCCTTTCTCAAGACATATCAACAATCATTAAGTAACACATGGATTAAATACAGCCCATAATTGCATGGTAGTACAAAGGGCTCAGATCAAATTACCGACTGCATTCCAAATCATTATCTGGTGTGCTTGCTTCAGACTAGAATGAGGGCAAAAAGCCTCAGAAACAGGCAAGATGAAGATGTCTGCAGTTCAGGCCTGGCAGAACATCAGCAGGACAGATACCAAGTGTCTCCTGACATCTGTGGGTCATAGCCTTCAGAAAGCCACTGACTTAATATTAAATATGATGACTGTGAAAGAAAGACTGCTTTCACTTTCAATCCATCAACACTCTGTCCCCTATATCTGGCGGGCCAAGTATAAAAAGGGACGCAATGTTTGACATGGAAACACCCTTACCTGAAAGTTAGCAATCACATACAAAGCCAAGACAATGAAAGATATGTTACTGTCCTTGAACTCTCCTAATTTGATTGCCATTAACAGCTCCAGCTTTCCTCTTGATGAATGCATGTTTAAACAAATAAGGACACAGTGAACAAAGTCAAGGGAATCATTGAGATTCTCAGGTTGTTCTTATCAGCTTCACACACTGGCCATCCATTTTTTTCAAACCAATTGACCTTGGCCAAACTCAGGCTGAGTGTGTTTCAGGTAGCCAAGTCTAGAAGCAGTGAATAGGAAGCATTTTGTATCTGTGCACTTTAGCAGAGTGGAGTATCATTGTTTGGACGGTAACTATTTACCATTCAATGCATTACTGCTCCAGTTTGTGCGACATACATTAAGGTGTCTCCTGTCTAGAGTGACCTCCTGTGACCTTTATTTTGCTATAAAGTCGCTGATGCTATTACGTTCCACGGATGTATAAAGAGAACTGGATGCAGGATGAGCGTGGGGCTTTAAAGCCACTTTTTTGTAGTGACCAAACTGTGGCATTGCAACTTCTGTGTCAATTAAGGTAATGCCATTTGGTCATAAAAGTTGTAAAATGCACTAATAGTTTCTGCTCTATGGGCTCATGGAGGAGGAAGATATGAATAACGTTATACTCAGAAGTTGAACTTTTTTTGGCTTTTCTCAACTTGCACACGAATAAACTTGCCTCCACTTCCAATGCTGTTTCCAGCTCTCTTTATACATCCATGGTGTGTCACAGTTGCCTATGGTGTTTGTGCTGCATGTGTGTGTGTTGGCAGGCATGCGTATCCTGGTGACCCTCCTCCTCGACACACTTCCCATGCTGGGCAACGTGCTGGCACTGTGCTTCTTCGTCTTCTTCATCTTCGGCATCGTCGGCGTGCAGCTGTGGGCGGGGCTACTGAGGAACCGCTGTTTCATGGGAGAGGATGTCAAAATGTGAGTAACCATAGTAACCAGCAGATGTCACGTCAAGGGATGCATTGGCCTCATTAGTTTGAAACCTCTATAAAAAGTTTGCTCACAACTGATTAGCTTCTTTCCCATAGCTGTTATTTCTAAGAGAGGATCAATAACACTGATAGTCTGATCTAGTTGTTCTCTAATCAGTGCTGTCTGAGAGTAAGTAAATGTGTTTCCTGCAGTAACCTCCAGCATTAAGGATCACAAATCAGGGGATTAGGAGGACTAAGTGAATTTCTATGTCCCGGTATTCAGGGACTCTCAGTGGCTGACTCAACGTGTTCCCTCAGAGTTTCACTGTCACTCCAGCTCTCTCATACATGATCCTTCACGTCATGCTCGATATCTGTCTAACCGACGCTGGAACACAATCGCTCTCAGCCTCGCTCCCACTCACATGTACGAAAACATGATCAGATAATATCACATAACATCAGATAACATCATGTTCAGCACCTGACCTCACATGTGCTCAACCTTCCCACTCAGATAATAATCCCTGACCGTGGTGGCTGTATGTAGAGGTGGGGGTTCATCGGAACAGCCTGTACTGTTGTACCGTTTGATTTACTCAGATACAATGTTGTTTGATAATTATTGTGCGGTTACTGTTACTTAACTAAAATATATGATGACATTTTATTTTAATAGCAGAACACTCAATTTGATTTGGAAAAGAAAAAACTAAATTAAAACCAGAAAAGTTCTCTCAGTGGAATGCAATCAAAAACACTAAATTATTGTAATAACATATTAAAATTAAAGGTAGGGTATGTACACTGAACAAAAATATAAATGCAACACTTTTGTTTTTGCTCCCATTTTTCATGAGATGAACTCAAAGATCTAAAACATTTTCTATATACACAAAATAACCATTTCTCTGAAATATTTTTCACAAATCTGAAAAGATCTGTGATAGTGAGCACTTCTCCTTTGCCGAGATAATCCATCCCACCTCACAGGTGTGGCATATCAAGATGCTGATTAGACAGCATGATTATTGCACAGGTGTGCCTTAGGCTGGCCACAATAAAAGGCCACTCTGAAACGTGCAGTTTTGCTTTATTGGGGGGGTCTGGGGGGGTCCGAAAACCCTAGGGTTAAACCCTAACCCTAACCCTAACATGTCACCCATCTCCTTCGCATAGAGTTGATCAGGTTGTTGATTGTGGGCTGTGGAATGTTGGTCCACTCCTCTTCAATGGCTGTGCGAAGTTGCTGGATATTGGCAGGAACTGGAACACGCTGTCGTATACGCCGATCCAGAGCATCCCAAACATGCTCAATGGGTGACATGAGAGAGAGAGTGTGTGAGA